AGGAGAAGCTTCCTGCTGGGCCGGGTAGGGCGGGAGCGGCCCAGTGGCTTCCTGGGCTCCGGTAACGCAGCCCGGTGCGCGGCGCCGGCAAATGGGAGCTCGCACGGTCGGGAGCCTCCAATGAGCACACCCAGCGGGCGGACCGGCGGGGGTGGGATTTCCCCTCCTCCTCCTCCTCGGGAGAAAGGCTTCGGTCCCGCCCGGCCCTTGCGCGGATCCGGGCTGAGGGAGGAAACAGACGCGTTAAGGGAGCGCGAGGCACCGGCAGCGCGCCCTCCCGGGAGCTCAGGGATCCGGTTCAGGGCCACAGACCAGAGAAAAACGGCGGCTTCCACCGGCAAACCCCGCTTAAGCTTCGGGGCGTTCTTCCCACGATTGCCCTCGCCTTGCTCTGCCCCTGCTGCCCGCCCCGCCCAGACCGCATTGCATTAAAGGCCCCACGAGCACGCGGTAAAGACACAAACGGCAACGAAGGGTTAACGTTGCTTTAATTAAGGAACGATTAAAAGTCGAAAGTGTCAAAAAAGTGTCCAGCCATCCCCACCTAAAGACAGCAGCAGCTCTTCATGCAGAAATAGCTTCACTTCAATTAATTTCCAACACGGGAAAAATTAACATTTCTTCACTTTAAAAAGAACGAGAAATGGCACCCCAACTGCTGCGATTAATCATTTTAAGTACACAGATGTTTCTTCAAACGTTTTCACACCACAATAGATGCCTGTCACAGATTAATACTTTGTAATTACATACACGCATCTCATCACAGCTGTACAGCAGTTCATGTGTTTTGGCATGTAATATGCAGTTGAAGGTACAAAGAATGTTTGTTTTTTACTTCAGTCCAGTGCCTTCAGCCTAGAAGAAATGAGAAGAATCAAGCCCCCCTAACCGCCCAAGTAGTAAAAGCCAAAAATGTGGCATTGCTGTAACCAACAACACAGCCCTCCTGAACCTGCTGCTGGAAATCAACCCCAAAATTGAGGGGTTTTGTGCCCCATAAGGCAGGTTGCGGACATGGAGTTCCTCAGCTTTGAAATACAGCCTAAAGTTACTGGTGAAACCTTGTTTGCAAGTAACGAACATTACACAACCACCATCAGGATTTAAACATGTTATAAGCAGGGAGTCAAATCCCCCAAATCACCCTTTTCACAGGAATGTTGTCAGTTACATCAGCAGTCAGGTACCTTCTGTCTTTCCTGATGGGGTACAACATCCAATTAAAAAACAAACAAAAAACCCAACCTTCTGATCTCTTCAGCCGGGCTTCTTGATAGATTTTCTTTCTTTAAAATACTCTCCATTTTGACTACAAATGGAACAGAAAAGATCCCTAGAATGTATCTAGATACGAACATTCATATTAAACAACAAAATGGAAGTGATGGAGAACTCTGAGAAAACAGCAGGAGATGGGCATCTAGAACTGCTCCTTTGGTTCACTGATCTTTCGCCTTTTTGGAAGAACATCTTGACTAGATGAGAGTTCAAACTGATGAACCTGTCAAGGAAAAACAAATATTGCTTTACAGGCTGCTGCATGGGACAGACTGTGGCCCGCTCCATGGCACGAGCTATTTTAACACAGGAAAAGCCCACCCTGAACAAGCCCATTGTGCAATGTGTTGAGCATCTGGCTCGACTTTGCTATTACCTGGTCCCTGCCCAGAGGGCTGGGATGTATTTATGCTGTAATGGCAGGACCTCCTGCAGGTCACAGCTTCAAAAGAAGGTAACCAAGGCTGTTCCCCCTCCACAGGGGCAATGCACCTCCAGTGCAGTCCCCGGAGCAGCCAAGAGCCAGTGCAGGGGCCATAACTGCAACCAGTGCTGAGCCAGGCAGCACCAGGAGGGCTCTGCACAACAGTGAGCACCTGCACCAATGGGAGACAAGGCTCAGCACCACAGGGGCTCACCTTACTGAGTTTAATCCAATTACTTCTGACTTGCACATGTGTGAAAAGACAATTTAGCCTTTAGCTCTGCTGTGCTTTTGATTATTTAAAGCAACTGTGCTTTGTTTAAATTTAGTATTAGTGTCACAAAACCTTTTCTTTTTTTAAAGAAAGACACAGTGATAGTGACCATACAGAATGTGTTGGTTTTTTTTTTTTACTCTCTCCACATCAGTGAATAACAAAAAATACTGCATAGGACCCTGGGGCTGGAAGAAAAAAAAATTCTATTCTGCAGTAAGCAGTACTTTACAAAAAGACTGAATCTACTAGTTCTGTATTCTGAATTTAACATCTCCACTTCATGAATTTGTTGCGAACTCTGATAGCCCTTTTCACACGCAGCTTTCATACGTATGTATTTTTAAGACAGACCAACTTCTCTTCTGGATTTCTTCAGAACATTCTGCTGAGGAATGAACTTTGCATGCTCCCAAGCCTGATTTCCATCAGCCGTTACAAAAAAGGCAAGTATCACTTTAGAAGCAAATTACTGGCAACAATTGAGCCGCACATTATGAATCTTTACACAACTACTCCACTGAAAATTAATGAAGAACTTTCCTGAGGAAGAACAGGAGGGTATGAGTTTCCTTAGCCCTGCTATAATTTCCCCTCCTGACTGAAAATGAAGAGCACTTATTTACTAGAATGGTAGTATTCAACACAACTTTTTTCTGAGAAGAACCTACCAGTAACCCTGAACATCTAGAACTAGGATGCTGAGCTCCTGCAAAGGTTCCCAGAGACTCACAAAGCTGAAGCTACCAATTTCAGTTGGTAAAGGCAGCAGACAGATGCAGGCTCCCAGTGCCATCCTCAAAGGCCAAATTCCACTCTGAAGACGACTTCTACTCCACCTGCGCAAGGCTGGAGGAATCTGTCTCTCCGCAAGTAGCGCTAACTACAAGACCGATCCACTGCAAAGTCATTAAGCAAAGAGGTAACAGATTTTTCTTGGTATGAATGAGTCATAGCGCTGAGGTTAGAATTTTGGCCTCATGTTTTCTAAGTAAAATCACTAGCAAGCATATGGCACACTGGGCTGGGGATCTCTGCTGGCACACACTCCTATCAACAACCAGTTAAACCAGCAGGGAATTTGTCTAAACGCATTCTTAAGACACAAATCAACCCTAATGAACCTTTCTGCATCTGCGCTAACTACACAAACTCTCAGCTTTTAACTCTTTGGAACAGATTTTTTTTTTTTTTTTTTTTACACTTAGAATCCAAACGTGTTGAATTTAAAGGGAATTTTAAAATTGATGAGAATTTCATTCTGTCAACATGAAATGTATTAAAGCTTAGAGTTTTATTCACTGTTTGACAGAAAATGGCTTAAAGAACAGAAATACAAGGAACAGAACTAGAGAAAACACAGTACTGACAGTGCTGGTTTGAAATATCTTTCCACTTCTTGTCCTGCTCTCTGACATATTAAGTTCAGACGTCTGTCTTGCCAAACAATCAACCTAAAATCAGAAAACAGATGTTGCCTTGTGACAGCAGAAAAAAAAAAAATACACATTAGAGGCTACAGCAGGGTTCAGTGCCGTAACGCACAAAGAGCTCAAAAAGCTCTGGTTCTGCTCACCACAGCCTTTGAGTTGAAATTTAAATACCCATTTAAATACCCATTGAAGTCAACAGCTGAACATGTCAAAGAACCCTGACAGATCAAAGCATCAGTTATTTTTATACAGCAAGTCACCCACAGTTACCTAGGGCTATTCTGTTTTAAGAATCTTAAGGGCATGTGTTTGAAGCAGTCTTCCACCCTTTTGCTATATGCAGGGAATATAGCCTGAGTTTTAAGTCTAAACAATAAACCTGCATTTTAAGTCTTAATCAACCTTTAAACAACTTTTGGTCTGTCAAAATGTATAAACATGGAAATTACAATCCCATTTCTCTTAACGGTCAGACTATCTGTCTGGTTTGAAAACTGTATCAGAGGAAGTCTTTTATTATTGTTTTTGATTGCTTTAAAATATTGGTTTTGTAGAAAACCAAAAATTAAAATGTAAAAGCACTTCATTCCTGAAAATACTGATTGTGGTCAAGAAACCTTTAGCAGGTTACCTATTAAACACCCAAAGCAAGAAAGCAGCTTCACAAAAGCTTTAGTAAAAGTTTGAAGTGACAGAGTGCAGTTTTCATACCTGAGGATTAGAAACATACGGATTATTGTTCCCTCCAGTCTTCATAACTTCATCTTCTTCACAACTTAAATTTGGTTCTATGAAAGTGTTACAAATTATATATATAAATTTTATATATTTATATATCTATATAAAATT